AGAGAGAGAGACAGACAGAGACAGAGAGAGAGGGAGGGAGGGAGAGAAAGGCAGAAGCTTGGAAATATTCACAGAGTAATAGATCCTGGCTTGAGCCTTCAGTGAGCTCTTTCTTTAGAGTTTAGTTTGAACTTTAAAACACACACACACACACACACACACACACACACAGAGAGAGACAGAGACAGAGACAGAGAGAGAGGGAGGGAGGGAGAGAAAGGCAGAAGCTTGGAAATATTCACAGAGTAATAGATCCTGGCTTGAGCCTTCAGTGAGCTCTTTCTTTAGAGTTTAGTTTGAACTTTAAAACACAGAACAAAAACTAGATTTATTTTTGTCCTGTTTTCTTCTTTCTGTCTTTCTACATTCCACGCAACAAGAAACAAGTAGACAGACAATAAACATGCCTAACAAGTGCCAGATATTTCTCAATCAGATAATCATGGAAATCAAACAGAAAGGGAGATTAAATGGAAACAGAGCATAGGAAATATCCTCTAGACCCAAAGGCCTGGGGCCCCTTTTCAGGTCTTAGACATGGAAACCAGTTCCTACCCACTTGGCTGGATTTCCTAGCTATATAGAAGTCTTTACTCTCCATTCAGAGGGTGATCTCAAAACTTACTCTATTCCTATGTATCTTCTAATCCAAAAGCAATGAAATAAAAGACTGTGTACAAATGTGCACTTAGGCAAAATCTCATTCTTTTTTTTTGGGAGGTACTGGGGATCGAACTCAGGACCTTGTGCTTGTGAGGCAGGTGTGGCACCACTGAGCTAAATCTCCAGCCCTGCAAATCCCTATTAAACATCAGCATAAACTTCAGCTTGAACACTGACATTAAGCATGATAACACTGCAGTGTATGCTAAAAAAGAAGTGTGTTAAGATCAGGCAATCTTCCCCATATTCCCATAGGTGAAATAATAGAGTCCCCTACATGTCTCATCCAACTAACAGTCTGCAGAGAGTGTCGATGGCACAAATTAGATATATGATTATTCTCACCATCTCCCTTCTGGATTTGATAAAGTTACAGACCAATTTGCATTGGTACAGACTTTAATGGCCAGGGAGATTCAGTGAGTTTCCCAAAATCCATTATAGCTACGGCAGGGCTTGTCTCCTGATTTTGAACCTGCATGTTTCCCCCTCATAGTCTTTTGTTTTGTTTTTCTCTTTTTCTTTTTCTTTTCATTGAGTTTATTAGTACTTTTTAGGGATACAGTACAGGTACATTCATCATTGGGATCTTGCACCTTTATTTATTTTTTTATTTTAAATTGAATTTATTGGTACATTCTAGGTAGACAGTACAGTTACATTCATTACTGGGATCCTGTACCTTTACATGCCAGGTCTTGGTTCTCATTTTTTCCCCTTGTCCCTGCCCTCCCTTCACCCTCCCCTCCCCACCTTCAAACACTTTAATTCCATTTTTACATTTTCTCATATTTTTTTCCTTTTCCCTTATTCCCCTTTCCCTATCCTTCTCACTGTCCCTACACATTTGGTCCTTTTCTTCCTATTTCACATCACTAATTATCCCATTAGGATCTTGAGTATTATTTTCACACCCGAGAAACTATTTGGTATTTGCATATGTGTGACTTATATATTTCACTTAGGAGTATATCCTCAAAATGTACCCATTTACCTATGAATGAATCTACTTTCTCATTCTTTATGGCTGAGTAATATTCCATTTTATAGAAAAAACACATCTTCTTTATCCAGTTTCCAACGGATGGGCAGATGGGCTGTTTCCAAGTTTTAGCTGTTACAAACTGTGCCCCTATAAACATGGGTGCACATATATCACTGTGATATGATTGTTTTAATTGCTTTGGAAAGATACCCAGCAGAGAGATGGCTGGGTCAAATGGAACCTCTAATCCTTGCTCTTTGAGGTATCTCCATATTGATTTCCATAGAGGTTGAACCAGTCTGCACTCCCACCAACAATGGAGAAGGGTTCCTTTCTCCCCACAACCACGCCAACATTTGTTATTGTTTGATTTCTTGATAGCAGCCATTCTTTGTGGGGTGAGGTGAAATCTCAGTGCTGTTTTCATCTGCATCTCTCGAATGACCAGTGATGTGGAGCATTTTTTCATATATTTACTTGCTGCTTTTATTTCTTTGTCTGAGAAATGTCTGTTCATTTCAGATGCCCATTTTAGAATTGGGTCTTTATATTTGGGGGGGGCGGGTTGTTTTGGGTTCTTTATATATTTTAGATAATAGCCCTTTGTCTGAGGAGCAGCTGGTAAAAAGTTTTTCCCATATTGTAGGTTGTCTCTTAGTTCTGTTGATGGCTTTTTCTGTTTTTTTGTTTTTTCTTTTTTGCAGTGCAGAAGCTTTTTAAGAAGATGAGATCCCAGTTGTTGATTCTTTGTGCTAGTTCCCATGCTACTGAGGATTTGTTCATAAAGTCTTTTCCTATGCCAATGTCTTCCAGAGTTCTGCCTAACTTATCTTCCAGCAAGTTTAGTGTTTTTGTTTTTATATTTAGATCTTTAATCCACTTGGATTTTAATTTAGTGCATGGTGACAGATAAGGGTCTAGTTTTAATCTGTGGCAGGTTGAAGGGATCTTGTACCTTTATGTGACAGATCTTAATTCTCATTTTTTCCCCATACCCCCACCCTCCTTTCACCTCTTCTGGGGAAAGGAAATAAGGGAAAAGAAAAAAATATGAGAAAAAGAAAAATGGAAACAAAGTCCCCCTCACAGTCTACAATGGAGTGGAATCCCTTTATACACACAGATAACTTACAAATGCAGCCACATGTGCTCATAGTGAGAGCCTAGAGACGTGACGGTGAACCTTTTAGAGCTTTCAATAACGGCAAACAGCTGGCTGCAGCACACGTGCCGTGGGTTCATCATCACTGCCTAGAGTGTTATTTAATAAAGCAATAAAATGCTACTGCTCATCATGTCAGTAAGAGAACGGGAAGGGGGAGAATAGTTGGCGGTTCCTTGGGTAATTTCAAACCTTCCCTCTAAGGTCGCTGGGGGTGAGCTTCTCTGTGCTAAATGCAATTTTGCGGGTGGGGGTACCAGGAATTGAACTCAGGGTCTCGAGTTTGCCAGGCAGGCACTACACTGCTAAGCTACTATATCCGTGGCCCACTAAATGCAACTTAAAACTTTCAAGATATGGACTCTGTATACATTGTGGTGTCTAAACACAAGCTAACATGTTCATGACTCACCTAAATAAGCTAGCGTAGGATTTAAATGATGCAGTGCAGGGGTCATATTAGGGTTTTCAAGGATATTATTGCCTGTATGCAATTTCGCACTATCTGCTAACTTTAGAAAATGGTGTCCAATACTTTCCAATCTTCCTCTGTGTGCCAGGCATTGAATTTTTGATTAATATTAACTCATTTAATACTTGTAACAATTATCTAAAGACATATCACTCCCCACTTTTGTAAGTGAGGAGCCATGAGTAAGTTGCCTCAGTCCTGCAGGTAGTAAACTGAGGGGCTGCGTTTTGGACCTACAGATTCTAGTGCTGGGCTCCAAGTCCACAAGCACTGTGATATATTTGTCATATGGAAGATGTGAAGCCACTGTTCAGAGCAGTGGTCCTATAAGCAACAGTAACAGGAATGAAGGTATTGATGGAGTCATAACGTAAGAAAAGGAATGCCTCTTCTGTCCCTGTCCATCTGGGATTTAAGACAACCAGAGAGCAAGAGAGTCACAAGAAGAGAAGCTCAGGAAGAGGAAAGAAGAGAACTGGGCAGAGAAGAGCAGAGTGAGGGAGCTGCAAAGGAGTCTGGACCCTGGCAAATGTGGACATGAATCACAATTATCTATCCAAAAATTCAGGTGGCGTTTTCCCAAATCTTCCCAGTGACACATTCTCTAGTCTCAGGTAGTTGAGAGATAATCCCACTGAAATAATATGCGTGAAAATGGAAAACTGGATGGAAATAAGTTCGCCTCAATCAGTAAGTGTGTTGGCTATTAGTCTGACAGTTGGCAAGGCAGATTCAAGTACCCCAGACACAGCCAAGCAGGTGCTCCAAGAAGCGGCAGGAATTCATATCGGTGCAGGGAAGCATCCAGAGGCTTTTCACCCGGTGTGGCGCCCACTCATGCTGCCAGGTGCCCCTACTACTCTGGAGTGCCCATATTGTGCAAAATGTTTCTTGGGGCCCTCAGCAAAACTACACAGCTGTACAGGAAACGAAACTTGCACCAAGCATGCTGCAATATGGAATGAATGACAGAAAAGTCTCTTAGATACTTCAAAAAGAAACCCGGGGAAGTACAGGGGAGACAGAGGTTGCTCCTGGGGGAAGAGAACGAATAAAGGCATTATGGAGGAAATGGCCTTTGAGAAACCCAGTTTGGGGTAGGTAGAACTTCTACAGATTCATTTAGTGTGTATGTGCCGCATACATACTAAATCGTTTGTCTGGGAATGAGACTCAAGGCCCAGCGTGGCCTTTCAGAAACTGAGACCTTTGGTTCATGCTTTTCCCTTCCCTAGGTCTTGGTTGTCTCATCTGTGAGATGAGTCTAATGCTTGCCTAGTCTATTTCACTGAAGTGTTTTGAAGATCAAAGTTGGTGATGTGTAAGAGATCTTTGTAAAATAGACACTGTTGAGGCTTGATAATGAAGTGGAGGCCCCAGAATGCACGTTTTCTCCGACTTCCTCCTGTCCTCCCATCTCCTGCTCTCCACTCTCTTCCCCAAGGCAAGCCACAGAGAGTAGAATTTCTCTTGTCTTACAAAGGTCATAGAAATTAGAACCCCTCTATCCCCCCAAAGCATAAAGTCTAAAAATATTAATTTCTCCCTCTCTGTTTTGGAACTGACTACAAGGAAAATTTCAAACCTACCTTGTCTGATAGTAGATCATAACCCTCCTGTTCCAGAAGGGGTCCTGCCCCATACCCTAGAGCTAGGAATGCTTCCCAGAGAAGTAAAAAAGAATCTGAATGGAAGATAGACTTTAATGAGTTTCTCCATTAGTTTGTGAGCATTAGATTATACCTTTTTTTGGTCCAATCAGAGTTTTACATGACTGGCTATGCTTCATTGAAACGAAGCTTAAAAATGGACGGTTCACTCTGAATGTTCGAGCCGTAAGACTATAAGCAAATATATGTGTTACGCTTTTCCCTGAATAATCACATTTTTGGTGTCAGACTGTCAGCCGTGACTCTCTCTTACATAACCAACGACTGGTGTGTTCAGTAGGTGTTTGCCAGATGTCAGGCACTACTGAGTTTTTCCCAAGTATCGAGTCACTTGATTATGAAGATGACTCAGTGCAATCTAGAATATGTTGCAGAACTGACTGAAAGTGGTTGGCTGCCTGGGACAAAGGCCTCTCAGGATGCTGCGTAATCATACGCACAACCCTGTGTGAGAGGCACTATTGGGCTTCTTCTCTTCCCATCAGCCCTCAGTTACGGAGCACTCCCGCACATGACACTGTGTCACCCATTTCTGAATAAAGATCTGCAAGCCATCTTATTTATTTTCAGCAGCTCTGGTCATATTTCGATCAGATGTCTGGCTTCTACTGCAGTCTTTTTTACAATAGCAGAGATGATCCAAGCCAGATCACATTCTGCTTCATTTTGAGAAACTCCATGCAATTATAAATGGTAGTCCTGTGGCCTACATGCATGCATGTGTGTGTGTGTGTGTTTGTGTGTGTACAGACTGCATACACACATGTGCACTCGCATTAACAAGCATGCACATACCTGCGCTATTAAGACTTCTTGTAATCAAACTCTTTGTAAGACAGCCCTTCTCTTAGAGCTTCCATCAACCTTGAAGGTAGATATTATTCCACGTAGAGCAAATGGGACCCATTCGGTTAAATAACGTGGCCAAAGGCACACACAGAGCCAAGATTCACATCCAGGAGGCTTATACTGCACTTTGTGTACCCGCACCCGACTTACAACAGTTCTTTTTACTTGGCATCTTTAATTTCTTTCCTTCATAATGTCTTTCCGTAATCATTTACGTAGTCTGAGCGGATACAATCGGTTTTCCCCAAGAAGCACCCACGACGAGAGAGGGAAGGTTCTGCGCCCGGCGTGGCCCGGATCGGGAGTCCGGGCTGTGCCGAAAACTCGGTTTACCTGCGCGCTCCTCGGAGGCTCTATCCTCCTCCCCGTAGAGCCCGGGAGGGAGATTCGGCCGCGGACTCCGGGGCGCAGCGAGCGGGGAGGCAGCGCCGA